CACAGTTATATAAGTAACTAATTAAAGATGAGTAGGCAATTAATAAGTAATATTCTTCTTTAAAATAGTTCACATCATTGCTATGAGCACATTAAAATAAATGTATTCCATTTCTTCTTGATTGAGATCATGAACCGATTGATGTTAGACCACCTTTGGAAACCTGGAAGCACTGGATGGCCGTTTCGTTCTATTGTGGGACTCCTCGGCAGCGCACACCCACGACCTCGCTTGCGGGATTCAAACCCAGTGCCTTCGGTCTCGCGCGCGAACGCTTAACCTACTGGAAAACTGAGCCGGCATCCAATGGTGATGGAGTCCCACAACAGGACGAAACGGTCGTCCAGTGTTTCCAGGTTTCCAAAGGTGATCTAACATCAATCGGTTCATGATCTCAATCAAAAGCTTAATAATCTCCACAACCCTTATACTGTATTCCATTTCATTGGAACATATCAATTTATTGTATATGAGACCTAATCTTACATCTGAGATTGATTTTTCACAAAATACACATGTTAATACTCTTACATCATACTGATTATTTTTACAATTTACCATTGCTTTTGACGATATTCTAGTTTGAGGTGTACATGATAAGATTCAGCTATTTTATTCAGTAACTAATCTTATTAATCCAGAATATTGTATTCCCTAATTTTGGATAATTTAGTTGATCCTGTAAGAATAGGATAAAGAAGAATGAAATATCAAAACAAACAAAAAAGTTCATTAACTTTTAGGCATTGTATTCATCTGTTCAAGTTACAAAAAAAAGTTAACTAAACATCTGTTATGTGTACTGAACTTTTAACTGATAAGTGGACATTTGTCAACATAAAGATACTTTAGATTACGTCATAACTACTTATTATAAGTACAATTACTTGGTACTGATTATATTATAGTGAACGAATACTTGATAGGGATGATCATTTTATTGTTTAATGCAAAATTACACTATCACTTGGTAAAATGTGAAAATCATACATTAAATACATCATTTGCACAACATCTTTGTAGTGTTCCTGACAAAATTCGTTGTTCCTTCATTCCTGTTATTATTTTGACTGCTTTGAGTTTTCTTCTTTCTTCATTTTATTTCAATCTTAATACTCTGCTACCATTCAGTCCACTTCTGATTAGTGTTATATATTACTTATATCTGTTAATATAAGTAGCATACACCACAAAATGAACATATAAATGTTCATGGATTTGATAAATTTGCCTTCAATATAATATTTTATCCTTTCTCTAACACAGTTGACCTTCATTGTCGTTAGTATTATGAGTTATTTTGGTATGGCTAGTGAATTAATATCTATACATGTTTGAGGATGGTGTCGTTTGAAATGTTTTGCAGATGTAAGTTCACTTTTCAGTAGATTTTATTTTCCTTACATTTTTCGAAAAAATCAGTCATCATTAAATCAGGTCGTTTAGGAAGTTACTTTATTTGTTACATAGTATTTATATTTTTAAATCTTTATTTATTTACATGAGAAATGGCCTGTTCAGTTTTTCGTAAAGGAACAAACTGTATTGTATATCAATATTTAATCACTCCTTTTCTCATTAGAATAAATAAGGGTTAGTGACTTTCATATCAGAATTTGTCAGTGAGATGGTGTTCTATGTTATAAGTTAACATTTGTAAAACAATCATCGTTAAAATTAAAAGTTTTAGATATCCGTTTAGTGGTTTTCCTCATCTTAATTTACAGGAGTTGGACTTTTACCGGGAGATTCACTTGTTGACTTAGAATATACCGATGACATAGTTCTATTTGGTGAAGACGCTGACAAAATGCACAGTCTTCTGACCACCATAAGCAACAATGCAAGCATGTTCGGGATGAGATTCTCTCCCTCGAAATGCAAAATGTTGCTTCAGGATTGGGTTGCATCGACACCTGAACTAATGATAGGTAGTGAAGTAGTTGAGCTTGTCGACCTCTCCACTTATTTTGGAAGTCTCATCAGCCTTTATGGTCTGGTGTGTGGTGAAATCTCAGCACGGATACAGAAGGCTCGACTAGGTTTTTCTAACTTGCATCATTTATGGCGTAGGTAAGATATCCGTCTATCAACCAAAGGACGGGTTTACTGTGCAGCCGTTCGTTCCGTCCTACTTTATGGCAGTGAAACATGGTCGGTAAGAGTAGAGGATATTCGTAGGTTCTTCAACTTGGACGTCTTCTATTTTCCCAGACCACCTCTACATTTGAAGAATAAAGAAAAGATGATCAATACGAGTTAAAGGTTTACTCCATGGTTAATCTACTTACCGGAAATAGAGTATATATATAGGGTTTTAGATTATCTTTATTTACTACCAACTTCTGGAAGAAACAAAACATGACAAATAGTCCTTGATCTTTTTCTGAGAAGCGTTTACTCAATTCTGATCTAATAATATTTTCTCAGCCTGTTTCTAGGCTTATGAAGACGTTATCAAAGGATATTTGTGGACCCCTAATAAAAATCGATGGAGACCAACTATTTATCGTATCAATGAAATAAAGTTATTTGTAGAGATCATTGAAAAATGGCAATCTTAATACTAAAATTTATTATAGTACATAGTTACTTGGAGATACCAATCAATATATACCATATTTATGCACACATAACCAAAAACTATGCTAGAATGCCTAATTTTATTGATGTGTAAGGGAAAATGTCAGTTGAAACAGCAGAAATATTTTTCATTTGTTATTCGATTTATACACCTCTCAGTATGACTTAATGACCTATTCGATATTCATGGTTATATATATATATATATATATATATATATATATATATATATATATATATATTTGAAGATTAGAAATGGAAACTATTTTTAAAAATGATATTCAGGATTAATGATTAATTATTTAAGAAACTAGTAGAGATAATTTATTACATCCTTGTTCTACTCAGACGTGAAACTTACTTATTGTCCATGTTCTAACATTGAATACTATAGGATTTCATGTAGCTGATTATCTGTAAACTACATTAATGAAATCTAGTTATTGTTATAATAATCTGTTGTTCTATCAAGTTATTTGAGTATGTGTGTCTTTATTATTAAACCCAAAGTTTCTGTGTGTCATAGCTTTTTAATTATTATTAATAGTAAGAGTGTAGTGGAATTTCTTCGTATATCAGTCGTCCTGATAACTGTTATTAGATAACTTTTAATGGTGTGTCAGAAAGCAAAAGAAATGTTGACCACAGTTTACAAATATACAACTCAGCTGCGAAATCTAAATGCACTGTAGGCAAATACGAACAGAAATACAAATGCAAATTAATAAATGTATTTAAGATGCCCATATATGTTACCAAGCGTATGAGTTATCAAGCGATTTAAGCAACTAAGATTTCAGTTAGAGAAATGTATGTACAGGCTGTCATACTTAGCCAAGCGTACGTGATCATAAAAGCTTGATAATAACGGCACAAAGACATAGACAAAGTGTTACTAACCGAATGATGCCATCTGTTAAATAAGTTAACTGACGAACTTCATCAAATCCAACTAATACCGAATCAGGTGTAATTAAGGTATTATAAGAGTTTACTGCGCTAGAAAGATGTATCAAACGGTTGAATTGTGGAGTCTCTGGATTTAGACCCTTTGATGTCAATGCACATAACTTATTAAAAATATAATTCATCCATACTTCCAAGCCTGATAGTGAATTATTGGATATTTGTAATATTATGTTGATGATGTTCAGTTGATAACAACACTTATTTCAAAGTGATCAAATTATCAACGAGAAGAGAACTAATTGTTTACGTTAACTCACTTCTACATCACTAACTCACTTTAATTAGATAATCACTGAAAACCAGAAAACGCTAGGTACCTGTTTCTTCCTAGACTGGGACTCTTCAGCTGTGCACCTCCGGTAACCCGGTAACGATAGGACCCAGATCTTTCATGCTTCGTATGAAATGCTTTATTTATACTTACACCAGTACATTTCCAGGTTTATAATACTTCACTTATAGCAGTTAGTTTGTGATGTCAAATTTTCAATTCAACGTTCGCTACAACAATCGCTTAATACCTTTGTAATATGATTTAAATATTAAAGAATTAACTTAATTGTATGGTCTTTAATATAAAGTGATCTTTCATATAACCATCCTCTATTGTTTTTATTCTTCTCTGCGGACTAAAACTACAGTCACTAGAATGTTTTACTAATTATCAAAACTCATGAAATAGCATCATAACTCTATGTACTATCCAAAAATGTTCACTTCGTGTTTTGTGCTTCACTTCATCCAGTAGTTTTTCAATAAATAATTGTTCATCTGTTTAAATATTTTTGACTAGACAAAATAAAGTGGCTTAATAATAAGTCAAGTAAATTTGTCGCTTATGGTAATCCAATTCCTAAAATAGATGACTGTAAAATTCTATCCTTAATAAATGGTGTAATTTAGTTGAAATATACGTAAAATATAATAATGTATTTTGCCATATTGAGTTTGTAATTTAAATGAAACCACTTTATAGCTTACATCAATGAATAATGTTAGTTAGATAATCACTGAATACCAGGAAGCGCTGGACAGATATTTCATTGCAGTGTGTAACTCTTCAAATGTACTCATCGCTGACCTAAATTATGACTGAATCCAGACCCTTCAGGTCTTACTGTGAGGACTTAAGCATTAGACTATTGATCCAGCATTGCTGATTTAAATTTGTAACTTCAGTCAACTCATGATAATGTGCAACCATCTCCCAATATAATCAGTGGATTATCGTCTTACACCAAATACGGCTGAACTATACTGGTTACGGCTCCTCACTAGAACTCAGAAAGTTGTATCTTAAAATAATCCCCCACTGGGATTATGACTATTACTACGATGGAGGTTTGTTCAGATTGTTTAATTTTATTTCACGACATTATCACAAACTTATAACTAATCATCCAAATAATTACGCTTCTCTTAAATCTTTTCATTTTCTTCTAATACAGTGTGGAAATTCGTGGAGCTGCAACTATTCTAGATGTGAGCTTTTCAGCAAAATCATTATCTGGTGAAGAGGATACTTGGTCACAATGTGTTAATGAGCTATTGGTCGAATTACGCCAATGTCGTCGTCGTGCAGATAATCTAGTCAATAGAATTATCCGTACAGAAAAACAACGTTGTGTTCTTGAAACATTTGCTGATAGTTTGTCACGTCGTGAAGATGAGATTCTGTTGGGCGGTAATCATCACGGTCATGTGACATTGAATAATTTACCAAATCATACAGGTGTTGCAGATCAAGTAAATAATATCCCGTCACAAGGAGCAACATTATCGGGAGGAACAACACCAGCAAATGCTCAAATGGCCTCAACGACTGCGGAACATAAATGTATAAATGATGTAAGTTACTTCCCCTTAACTTTCCATTTTCCAAGTAAAGAAATATTTTTCAAATTTTATCCACATTTCCAAACAACGATAGTATGCAAGATTTCAAATTAAGCGTAAAACAGATATGATCTTCGGATTAGGTATCGAATGAATATCAAACAATTGGGGACGAATCAAATATGAATACATATCTCGATGTTTCCTCAAAAAATATTATTCAGTCGGTCAATTATGAGTAACATCAAACCTGACATACATACGCAATATTCCAAGTCTCCACAGCATATCAGCTCTGAAGGATGAAATCATTAAGACAAATACCAGATTAGTAAAACTGGTAACATTATCAATGGTAGTGAAAATCATTAGGTACAGACAGTATAATTCAACAGAGAAGAACGAATTCGTAGAACAAATAGTATAGGATATTTTGAAAATCAAGATCCAAGGGAAGATAACGAGTGAATGTATCTAAACATGAATAAACAGAAAGCGAAATAGTTTTTCATTTATGCTGTCTTGTCTTGAATCGTCCTTCTCGATGTAGTTCACCGAAAGCATCATTCAGTGAGAGATAATTCAATAAGTGAATAGTAGAATGGAAATGTCAATTAGGAATGGATATTTCCTGTATATTGTGCATCACTGTTTGGAATATTGTACTAGATGACTGCACACTTGATGAGTGATTTCAAAAGTCAAGTAGTATTAAAGAGGTATAAACGAGTGTGTTGTTTCTTAAGTTGAAATGATCAGTTGTTAAACTATAGTGAATAAATGTAGAGATTCATATTAAGAAATGAAGAGAAGTGAATCCATTTTATTTGTGTGTTGTTGTTCGTGCAAATAATTGAGGTAATAATTTAGTAGAGATAATGTAATAACTTCAATATTTCTATAACTAGTTGAAGTTGTTAGCTAGTGTTGTGCATTTCGACCTAGTTATAAATATACATTCCTATTTGCCATTTGAACACATTTTGAATTATGTGTTCTGGGTCTGTTTATTTAAATAATCTTTTGCGATATCCAGTGTTCAGCTTTTTTATTGACAAGCTTTAACCATTATAATGAATGTCTTTGTACTTTAAGTAAAAGGGTTAACAGATTTATAGTACTGAATTAAATGATAAATAAATCATTCACTGAAATAAAACTTTAGGATTCATGTGATTTATAGTTTATCAAAAGTATCAGTAGTTTATTTTATTTTAATTCGTTGCATGATGTCATTTTTGGTCCATATTCACAATGAATTATAGTCCTATTACAAATGGTGCTAACTAGGACAATTATCTTTACTTTACTACTTTTCCCTAGTGGATCATTAGATAACTGAGTGAGAATATAATTTATGGACGAACTAATCAAATATAAGATGATAGAATAAATAGCGTTTTGGCATTTTGGCTGATGTCACTTGGTGATGAAAACCCTAAATTTAATTCTTAACCCTAATAATCAACTGAAAATCATAATTCGAATGCTTCACACTGTTTTATAAACCTCAGTTAGTCCAAGTTATTGGGTGGACATTTAAGCGTCGCTCAAAAGTCTTCCGTAAATTATAGTCTCATCAATAATTGTTATAACTTTTACCCTGTCAATAACCACGTGGCAAAATCGACAATCAGATTATCGACTTATATGACCTTTTTCTTGTGCTAAACTAATTTCACGTCAACTAGCACTGACTGCCTTACGTCAACTCTGAATCTTTATTGGTCCTTTTCGCCCAGCCGTGCCCATTGGAGTTCAGAAAGTAATCTCAGCCTCCACTATATGAATCGTATATTTCAGACATACATAGTTTATGTACAAGTGAACCAGTCGTCATCACACTATAAAATGAAAAATAACAATTATACAAGATCAAGCCAAGAGTGGCTGTTAGTGTGGGACACTGTAACTGATAAATTGGGAATAATTTAAGAATGGTAAATCGTATTGCAGTAACCGATAGGTCAAATGAAAGTCTATGATAAAACGAATATGAATGTACATATAACCTAGTTAATTAATCGTTATTCAATAGGAATACATGTCATAATAGTCTATGAATAATTCTTAATAGTTTTCATTCATTTATTTTTCGTTTGGATATAACAATCACTTTCAATATCCGATTTTAAAGTCTTGACAACATAGCACTTCAAACTTTTTTTTAATTATTCAGCATCATACTATCTTACCATAGAACACTATTTTAGCAAGTAAAACTAACTATAAATACAGTTGTACAGCTTGAGTAAATGAAATCGTCGAAGAAAATTTTTCTTCGTTGAATTACCTTTCTTCTTCAGTGATACAATGGGTCTTGTTCATTACTTCAAATCCATGGGTTGAATATCTGATTTGATCTGGATTGTGAAGTGATGATGAAAATTGACGTCAAGTAATAAAAAAAAAGAGTTATGTACTGATAACGACGAGCATGAAAAAAGAACTGAACTAAAACGAAACATGAAGTACATAAGTTTTAATAACCTTTAGAGTACAACTGATTAAGATTTAGAATAAGAGAGAATAGAGTGAAAAAGGTCCTGTCAATCATCTATTGATATAATGTAACTTCTTCAATTACTGATTTCTATCATCTATAAAGTGTAGAATAAAAATAGAAGCAGTATAATGATGAAAGTATTTTACTTTCAGCCAATTTGATGTACTTTGGAGCTGTACTTCAATTAATTCAATTTGGACTGTCAGGTACTATTGTTATTTTCATTACACAGATCAGTAAACAAAAGACTGATGAAGCTGCACTACGTTTTAGCCGAAACTACTCAGTTGTCTATTACCAACAAATTTGTTGACCACATGTTTCGATAGTTTCTATTCCAATTTTTATGAACTAATTTATTACAACCGAAGGGAACGGTTAAATCAAGTTATTTATGAGGCTGTGTGTGTGTGATCACCTTTTTTGAACAAGGATTAATTGATCCTCACTGTACATATGACCGTAATTTCAACTTTATACAAAGCTTTATTAAATACATTATAAAATAAACTTTGTAGTATCACTGTTGTGTAATAACAGATTTCTTCTCATATGGATAGGATTTTAAAATAAATTCACCACTGACAAAAAATACAAGATTTAAGCTTCTTTAGTAATGTCGATAACGTTCCGATAATGATATTTAGATGCCAAGTGATTATTTATTTAGAAATGATTCAAATAATTTAACAAGCATAATGATGTTAATTATGGCTCTGAATAGTTAATTTCAACTACTGACTATCAGTAAAATCAGTTGTTTATAATAGAAATTCTTGTTTAATATTAGGGATCACATTATGGTTTGCTCTTAGTTAGATGACCATTGAAAATCAGAATGCATTGCACAGCTATTCCATTCTAGTGTAAGACTCTTCCGTGGTGCTCACATACACCCTATATAGAATTAAACGCAAGACCTTTAAATCTAGCCATGAATCCTTAACCTTTAAACCGCAGAGGGGGCGTTCTTGGCTTTCATTTCTGATTTCAATTAACTTTCAATATTTCCCTGTCACTTTCTGCTTTTATCTGTAAGCGCCTTACATCCGATTTTATTGAATTTGACTGGTTATGCGTTTGTTGTTTAGACGTTAATGGCTCGCTATAATACATGAAGACTATGGTTTCGATTCATTGCTGCGTACTATCGAGAAATTGAACATTAGCACGAAACAACTATCTATCGCTTCCTGGTTTTCAATGGTTATCCAACTGAAGTCAGTTCATGATGTAAACTGTAAAGTTCAACAATCTCCACAGACTCTTTATACGCTTATTTAATATATATTTTCATAGCACTCACTTGGCAGTGATAAAGATGAACCTGAAATGGAACTTTAAAGCATGTTATGTTATGTAATGACTTTTTGTACTGGTTAAATACATGTCTATTTTTCGATAAATTTATTACTCTCACTATCTCTTTACAAGATCATGTTCACCAGTGCGTAGTATATTCCTGTCTTTTTTATCAGACTAACTCTGTAAAAAGTGAGATATTTAGTTATGTATGTTTTGTAAGACAAATGAACTGGGAATAACATGGACACAGACACACATGACATTCATCATATTTCCCTGTATAACAGAAGTTGACTTACCATTGGCCTATTAAGCATTTACTAAGGAGATATTTAACAACAATAAACATTTTTTCGCATAATTCCTATTCACCTCTATGTGTGGTTACTTTGTGTTTGTATCACTCGTCAAATCGAATTCATTTGTGTGCAGTTGATAGTTTTCAGTGCTTTCATTCCAAAATTTCTTAATTCATCTTCATCTGAATTCACCAGTGACAATAGACAATAGTTAAAGCAAATAAAAGTTTTCTGAAAAAATATGATAAGCTGAAAAGTAGTACTTGGTTATTGCTTAGGGTGGAGGCTGAACAAGAAGAACATTAAAAGTTACTTAGACGCAGTAGATCGTTCTATGTAAAAGAATAGTTATTTTCTCATATCTGTGTTTAACACTGAGTCTTTAATGTTTGTATATAAACATGTTATAAGTAAAGTGAAACGTTCAAACTGTTTAAAATTTATCTTCTTAGATGTAGATTGTTAACACGAACGGATTGCTACGATGATCCATGAAATAAAATTCACTGTCACTTTAACAATGGCGATATTTATCAATTTTTCTAAAGATTATCTAAGGGAAAAAAGTGTTTATTCAAAAATTTATCCTCAACTTTCTTACTTGACAATAAAATCACTAAGGAGTCCCATATTAGAATGAAATATCTGTCTATTGGTTGGATCTTTCAATAGAATCTCAGATGATGTTACTCAATGACAGATATCATCTAAAAATCCCCACAAAATCCCCGCCCACATCAAAAGATGACAAATTTCTTGAGTTCTTTGTGCGTTTTTGTCTACTTTCTTTTAAGAATTCTCACCTAAAATAATGATTGTATTTTTCTGTTATTCAGCGATTCAATGAATCAATTGATGATTATTCTTTATTGGAAATGAAAAACAAACCAACTAGACAAAATAAGAAATGTCATAGAAATGTAAATTCACTCTAATCAATATTTGTGTTCTTTTTTTCATTTCAGTTGAAATCTGAATAAAATAACCATAATTCTGAAAAATATATGAATGGGGTTTTACAATTTGATAAATAACAATAATCGGTCATGATGCGGATCGATTTATTGAAAGTGATTATACTTATGAAATAGGCATTAACAAACAGAACTATTAAATAAATCAACCTAACATTGAAATGTTTAATTATTAGATTGAGGTATACCATAAATCCTTGTTAAATTGTATTACTTGCTATATATTGAAGAGAATGATTTAGTATATTTCGACCTGGATGGTACCTACAGTGATTACATAATTCTTTTTATTAATATTGTTAACAATAGTTAATAACGATAAATTTAGTTAAACGAGTGTAGGTATTTATCATATATATAGTTTTCTAAGTCTGATTAATTTTATGTTGCCTTCAACGTGCCTTTTTTCAAACTAGATCATTAATCCTTATGATCCAAGAAATGTGGAAACGTTGCATAAATTTCTTGAAATTTACAAAGATGAAGCTGAACGATTTGATACAGTTTTAATGGATACTACTGAAGAATTGGAACAAGTTCGCACACGAATTGAGACATTGGAAAAAGAAGTTCGTGATATAGAATTAAAGCAAGATGAACATTTAGCCAGGTATTTGTCAACGTTTCAACATTTTGATTATCTGTATACATTTTTATGAGGCATGTTCCGTTGATGTTGTCCTAAAGAATCAATATAAACTTTAGGGCTGGACCATCAACCTCAGTGAATACAGTGTCCTCAAAGATATGCACTTGATCATTAACCTTCAAGTATAAGGTTTGCAAGAAAAGTAAAATACTCATTTATTCACAAGTAAATTATATTTGCTTATGGGAATAATTAAAGCTAAATGTCTTATTCATTCGGGTTTGTTATTTAGATGTATCTAGAGCTCTATCTAGAATTTTTGCTCAAACTCAAGACTAACACTGAACCATTATTAATTAGAACAATAATTTTCGACAACTATCTATTCTTAAAAGATTACTCACTCACTTACACTAGTTGTCCCTCTTGAAGGAGCATAGGTCGCCCATTGGCACTCTCCATCGAACTCTGTCCTGGGCGATCCTTTCCAGTTGTTTCCAGTTGCTATTCATTCCTTTGATATCTGCTTCCGATTCCCGGCTCAGTGTGTTCTGTGGTATTGCTCTTTTCATTTTCTCCCCAGGATTCCAAGTTAGCGTTTACCTAGCGATGCAGTTTGGTGATATTTACAATGTATATCCTATCCACCTCCAACGTCTTTTCGTAATTCCTTCCTCAGCTGGAAGCTGATTTGTCCTCTGCCACAGTGGTATTAGACCAATGGATATTGGGTATATTGAGTAGACATTTGTTTATGAATACTTGTACATTTTTGGTGGTGGTTGTCGTAGTTCTCCCAGTTTCACCTCCCTGGAGTAGAACTACCTTGACGTTCGTGTTGAAGATTATGACTTTGATATTGGTTGACAGTTGTTTTGAGTTCTGTATGTTATTCAACTGTAGGAATACCGCCCTTTCTTTAGCAATTCTTGCATTTACGTCTGAATCAGATTCTCCTTGTTCATTGATGATGCTGTCCATGTAAGTGAAAGTTTCCACCTCTTTCCGAGTTTCTCCACCAAATGTGACAGTGTTAGTGATCTCTGTGTTGTATTTGAGGATCTTGGCTTTTCCTTTGTGTATGTTGAGGCCTACTAATTCAGAGGCTTCTGCTACACTGGTTTTCTTGACATACATTTGTTGGTGTGTATAGATAGGGATGAGCCAGGTCATCTGCAAAGTTCAAATCGTCTAGCCCTATTCAAGCCGTCTATTGTATTCTATAATTCCCATTAAATGTAGAGGTCTTCATAAAGATCACTAGTTGATGAATGAGTTTAGAATGTCTTAACACCTATTAAAAGGACTGTGTTGATTAGTTTGTGTAAGCAAACTAACACCCTATGAAATTATTTCTATATTATGTTTAGCGAAAAAAAATATCAAATCACTTTCAGATATTTAATGATTCCCCAGAATATGTTAGTGCACTATGAAAATCAGCTCCAACTTATACATCTACCTGCATTGATTGCTGGTAAAACACACACAAGAGATGACGAACGACAATTCTGTTGATTGGAAATGAATTCAGAGAAAGTAGATATTTGTGACACTATAAATAACCTACGGAATATGGTAGAACTGTTCAATGACTGGAATTGACGATCGTAAAACATAACACACATCGGTTACAGTTCAGTGAAGGATTCAGTACACAGATATTTTGTACGGTGAGGGGAAATTGGCAGCTTAATATGAGTGATTTCATTGATGAGAATATTAGGGAGTAGACAAGTGTGATATTGGTCACCAGTTGATAATGAATGGATTGTAAATATATCAGTGTCATAGAAGGTGGATGTTGGTCGAAGTAGCTCCATGAGAAGGTCTGTGGCATTGAATTTAGCTGACGTAGACTCGGATGCCATAATGAAGATCAGTTACCTCAAGACTGTAGTGAACTTGTTGGCCAGTGCCATCTTCCACAAGATCTCGTTCAATGCTTTTCTGTCATCTAGCTCCGATCAATCAACATAAACACTATGAATGACTATTTGTTACCTGAAGGCTTGTAATGTGATTAAGTCAGTTATCAGACAATCGTTTAAATTGTTTTGTGAGTCAGTGATTAGAAATTCATTTATGCTGTCTTGTCTTGAATCGTCCTTCTCGATGTAGTTCACCGAAAGCATCATTCAGTGAGAGATAATTCAATAAGTGAATAGTAGAATGGAAATGTCAATTAGGAATGAATATTTCCTGTATATTGTGCATCATTGTTTGGAATATTGTACTAGATGACTGCACACTTGATGAATGATTTCAAAAGTCAAGTAGTATTAAAGAGGTATAAACGAGTGTGTTGTTTCTTAAGTTGAAATGATCAGTTGTTAAACTATAGTGAATAAATGTAGAGATTCATATTAAGAAATGAAGAGAAGTGAATCCATTTTATTTGTGTGTTGTTGTTCGTGCAAATAATTGAGGTAATAATTTAGTAGAGATAATGTAATAACTTCAATATTTCTATAACTAGTTGAAGTTGTTAGCTAATGTTGTTTCTTATAATTTTCACTTTGTGTAATCATTCGTTTAGACAGTAATTATAAGTTTCGTAAGTTGATACTCAGCTATATTGTTCAGATACATATATGTGATTAATCAATAATACGTCTTCTTTGAACTGGTCAACTAACTGTTCTAATTTCTTATTGATGAGACATCCCTAAGAAATAACAGTTTGTTTGCGCCTAATGATGTATCACGAAACATCTTTTGATTGTGATATTATATTTACGACATTCGTATTGTCTGTAAAATGCACATAACAACCTTAATTATTATTATTAAGATGAGGGTTTATCGGAAATTGTTTGTCGGTCGCCGTCAAACCTGAAGGTCTTGTGCTAGATCTACAGTGTGGTCTTGGATGCATACAATTAATGAATCTGCTTTCATTAGTTCGACTAACGGGAGAAGTATTTTTGACATTTTAATTACCTATCATATTAGATACTATAATACTTATTAATTAATTCTGTTTATTAGTTAGCTAGATGATTGTGAAATATGTCCAAGTGATATTGATTATAATTACAATCAATAACTCATTTCACCTTGCATAATAATGAGTAGATTCATTAATTATTGGTTCTGAGATATTATCCAATAGCACACACACACAAACAAACAGAAATCTGGTTAAAATAGTCCACAATTTGTCGTATTATAAATGCTAGACAAACCGTTTCATTTTATAAATTCGTAAAACAGTGAATAGTTACTTTGTATCAACAACATTATGTACTGGATTTCTGTTTAATGAAGTTTGGTTTAAATTAGTACTGACTGAATAATTCAGTGATTAAATGTATAACAGCGAAATGCTTTCACATTTACACTTGTCCCATTACAACGACTTAATGAAAATGAGTGTAAGAAATAGAGAGATAGGTAGAAAGATAGATAAACAGATAGATGGAGTGAATGGTTGGTTGGGAGAGAGACAGAGGGAGCAATAGGTAAAAGTTATCAGCTATAGGAATTCTATCTTTTATTAAAAAAATGAATAAAAAGTAATGCTTTACATAGTATGCATCTAGTTATTCTCCTTGTTCCTTTTTAATTGCCTTACCTCTATTATTATTACTAATGACTTTCATAGGGTTTAGGTCAATCATGAGGCCACTTCATCATTAAACTCCTGTTTAATGATTCAGTTCTGGGAATTCACCTGACTAATTAAATAATAAATACGTTTTCCTACTAAATGAAAATTTTATTTTAAGTTCCACTCAGTATTTTAGGCTCTCATCATTTCAATTGAGATCATGAACCGATCAATGTTAGACCACCATTGAAAACCTGGGAGCACTGAATGGACGTTTCGTCCTAGTGTGGGGCTCCTCAGCAATGCACATCCACGATCCCTCACACAGGACTTTAAACCAGGACCTTCGGTCTTGCGAGAATGCTTAACCGCTAGACCGCTGAACCGGCATCCAAAGGTATTCATGATATCGATTAAAACTCAACAATCTCCACAACCCCATACCGATGCTTTAAATATTTGTTGTATTGTTGAACAGCACTGGATTAATGCCTTGCCATTATACCTAGTTCTGATTATTGATTTCTTTTTGGAATGCATTCAGATATCCGCTTAAATAGATTAATGTTTAAATAATTTAATCACAGTTGGTAGGATTCAGTTTTACAACTTTTGAAATCCCTTCAGCAATAATACACATCCTACCAACGGAATTTAATAATTCAACAGTAATCCACTTATTAAAAAAGACAAATATTTTGGAACTTTCCAAAGAATGAGATTTTGATGTGAACTTAATAGTGAAAAGTTTCAACTTAGTCTTGACTATTCATTCATTCATTCAACTACTCATAATTTTTGGTTCAATAGTTCATTCTAAAAAGATGTTAGTTCGAGGACTTTATATGGAAAATAACAGATATTCTAATAATCAGTGTTATTACAGACAAAATATTTATAGTGAATAAAACATGTTTGTGTTTATATACCACAGCGGAAACGGACATTTGACTAGATCCTGTATGAAGTATCGTTTATCTAATATCCGAGTTGTAATCTGTTATTTCGTCCTAGTATATTAGACTTCTCTGTAGTACACATGCTTGATACCACCAGAGATCGAACTGAGGACTTTCAGGTCTCACAAGAAACGTCTAACCTTCAGACCTCTAAGTCTACATGTCTTACTGTGTATGCATCTTGGTTAACATTTTTTCCTTAGATTGCAAGCGTTTTTATGAAAGTTTATATGTTTCAGCAGACCACCTTTGTCCTAATTGTATTTTGAAATGTGTATAAGATTATGAGATTCCAATGTTTAAGGTTCATGTGTTCTAAATACTATATTCTATACACTTAATAGAATCGAAAACTAGTATGCTATATTCAGACATATTGAAGCGTGAACAATCTGAGGAGAAATAATATTAATATGCCGAAGTTAAGCAATCCATATCAAGTTGCAATGAGGTTTAATGATTTAGTTGAAATTCTTGTATGTACATCTTGAATCCTCTTAAATTTAGAA